TTTTCCCAACGTCTACGCCAGTGTCATCTCCAAGGGCTTTTACGAGCGGGTGCTTCCGTCTGCGTCGGTGGATCTCGTGCTCTCGTACGTCGCGTTGCACTGGCTGTCGAAGCTGCCCACGCCGCTGCCGGGCAGTCAAGTGACCCTTCTCCGCCGGCACGCCGCCACGGTACCTGATGTGGCGTTGCAGTGGCAAGCGGCGGCGCACAGCGACTTGGTGCGGTTTCTGCAACTGCGCGTGAATGAGCTCTGCGACAATGGCGTGCTGTGCACGACGATGGTTGCCGACCTCGACAACCCAATGGCAGGGACTGTCAATACAGCGTTTAACAAGTGCATCGCCGACATGGTGACTGCTGGCATCGTGTCGACGGCGTCGATGGAAGCGTCGGCCGTGCCAACGTATTTTCGCGCGATGGACGATGTGCGAGCGGCCGCCGCGGCCGTGCCGGAGCTGCAGCTCCGTGCCCTCGAGACGGTGTCGATCCCGATGCCATTTGGCAACGTCGCGGCCATGGCTAATTTCTTCTCGGTCGTCATGAAGCCAGCCATGATTGCGCATATGACGGACGCCGAGCGCGCGGATCCCGCGATGCACGAGGCACTCGCCGATGGCCTTTTGCGCCATTTTGATGTGGACGTCGAGGTCCACGGCGCCGTCGAGCCGCTCTACAAGCACGTTTCGATGGACTACATTTACGCCTCATTCACCCGGCGTCCTCGTGTCTCGTCGGCGTAATGCTACTCAAAGCGAGTTTGTTGTACGTAGTTATGTCATTCTGCGTTGTTGTTCTCGATCGAATTGTCGTTGACAAGAGGTATTGCATGCAATTAGCAAGACAAAGATGGAGGACGTTCCTAGGCGTTCGTGAGGCCTGGTGGGTGCGTCAAGCGTGAATCGCTCGAAGTCGTGCCTCGGAATTGTGCGAGCTGGTAGCAACCGCACTAGGAGTCATCGCGGCGAGCCGACGTCGTGTTGGACCATTCGGCGTGTAGGTCGATCTCGCGCATGCAACGGTTGTGGAAACATTGTCTTTGATGTGTGTCCCTAATAATGATGTGTGTGTCTCTGTTTAGGATCAGAGACGCGACTATGCATGCAGTGCGCACACGCAATTAATGGCCATAGAACCCGCACAGCCACACGTTTTTGACCGTTACATGACGTGGCAGTGATACAGGCCGGTATCTTGCGCCACCGCCGATGAGTCGCCGGCTCTACGCTGTGTACCGCGACTTGGAAACGTCGCTACGAGAGAGTCTGCGCAAACACATTGTTGCTGCTCATGTGTATAATCGTTGGGTTGTCCCAGGGGAAATAATGGGTCGCCTTCACTTGCATCACCCTGACAGCAATCCAACTCTCGTGGGGCATCTTTGGTCACGAGGCTTCGGACCGTAGCCGCAGATTCGTTGGCGAGAAGCGAGGAGGCGCTTCTAGTGATGGTATTATAGCACCAGCTGGGGTACTGTAACAGTCGTAAATTCGTCGTCGAGTGCGTTTGAGCGCACGTCGGTCCACACGCAGCGCTGCGTTTCCATGGACGCGGCAAACTTTTGGACGCTGATGTGTCGCACAGCTGGATATTATTTCCGAGTGAATATAACCAGTCCTCACGGTCGTGCTACGCGCTTACTCGCCTCGGGGTCGTTGCGACGACCAGCGTGGTACCTTTGCCACTTGGAAAACGCAAAATAATGGTCGACTAATTTCAATGGCGTACAGCGATCCAACCGGCTCGTCGAATGGAATGGCCTTGCATTCCCAAGACGGAATCGTACAAATAGTATCGAGTACTACCACCTTGTACCTTGGGATTGGACCGTGACGCTTCTCTTTCCGTCGATGCGTCGGTCCAGACACTTTGCGTCGACGCCAGCGTGTGCGCCAGCACGAGAAAGATTCGTCCGTGTCGGTCGGTTCGGGCACATCACTTGATGCAGCCGTTGACAGCGCATCGCTTCAACTACACGCCACATGCAACGTGCGGATGTCACGGTGGCTACCAACCGGTGGTAACCCACGTGAGTAACACCCGATCAAGCACTCGGAGTTTTGCGATGCACTCGAGCACAACGCCTGACGACTATCTTTCCGTTCTCTAATATAAAATGCACTTATTGGACGCAAACACTAGTCGACGGAGCGCACATCGCTTCAAGGCCAATGCCAGTCGTCCCGCGACCGACTCCACACCCTCCTCGACAAGCCATCAATTGCAAGCTCGATGACACACACGGTACTGCAAGCGCGTTGCGACCTGCGCCATGCGTGACCAACCGTGTGCATACGCCGCGACCACGCTCTCTCTGGCCTCTTATCTTTGCTCTTTGATGTACGCTGCCGCGTAAGATTTTCTCACTCTCCGATTCGATTCGTCATCCTACCATGGGACTCGACCGCGACGCGTGGTTATCGCTGCAGCGCACGCTCCACGACGCTGTCCAGACCCTATTGCAATCGTACACGAGTGGCCGCGACGACCTCTGCAGCGGCTACCGGTTTGCGAAAGCCAAGCATGGCCAGCACCTCTTTACCCGTACAACAGCGGCGTCGCCCTTTCTTGAGGTGCTCTCGCTCGGCCACTCGGTCCGGTCGCTGGACGACGTCCTCGACCTCTGCTACGCCGCGACGTCGGAAGACCAGCGCATCCTGGAAGGCCTCGTCCATGGCGACAAGTACCTCGACGCAGCCGTCCTCGAGACCGTGTTTGCCGCGACGATCGACGACCCGTTTCGGTGGCTTGGCACCAAGACCAAGCAGATTTACATGACGGGCGGCTTTGAAAAGCGAGGCACGACGTTTGTCGAGTATTCAGGGTCGCTGACCGACGACCTCGGGCAGCGAGTGCTCTTCATCATGCGCGAGTCGATGCCCGGCGACCTCCCGCGCGATGTGGTCGCCTACCGCCTGCAGTCCATCTCGCTCTTCATCGAACACGCGACCGGCCGCGTCCAGGACGTGCACTACAGCTTTGTGGATCCCCAAGGCAAGTTTCCCGCGTGGCTCTTCAACCAGCAGGTCGCTACACACATGCCGGTGACGCACCGGATTTCGATGCTCGCGCAAAAGAAGCGCCTCCTCCTCGCAGCGATGCATCAGCCCGTCGACTACGACGACCGGTACGAATCATACCTCGTCTCGTATGCGGTGACTCATGACATCGCGTAGCCGTACCCGCGCCTGTGGCTCCTGCGGTGACAAGCTCGGAGTGTTTCATCACAAGCACGTGTGTCTGGCCTGCCATCACGTACGCAATGAAATCGATGAGATCGCCATTGCTCATCGCTACACTAGGTCATGTGCCGACGATGCCTCATCAAAGTTCCGCGAGCGCTCCCGCGCGGCGCAGTGGCCCAAGAACCCTTTTGTAAAAAGTGCTTTGTCGTCGCCAAAGACCCCAAGTTGCCCCTGCACCACCTCGCATGGATGGACGAAGATGCCATCTTGCACTCGGTGATTGCGCGCCGCCGCTTCTACTCCAACCAGGCGCACACCGCCAGCGCGAGCGGGGCGACCTTGTTTGACGACAAGTGCCGGCGGTCGAGCGTCGGAGTCCGCAATAGCTCGATCACGACGACCGGGTCGCTCGCCGATCTTCCGGAAGAGCCCGTCTTTGCGGAAATGGACGCGTGCATCCAAACGCAGCGCAACCTCGTCGAGCAAATTCGCCTCCGCCTCCAAGAACCGACGTTCGACTAGAGTCGTTTTAGATCGACAACCCTATTTAACGCAAATATTAATACTCGACGTCAAGTAACCGCACACCGCGCACGCGCGGTCGTGTGGCCGTCTGCTGCTCTATCTCGCCTGCACCATACCAGTCCGACTGGCAGCCATGGACATGTTCATGTAAAGTACTATTATCGCGCTCTGTTGATGCTAGTGATGATGCGACGCACATTTCATTGGCCGCAAGATCCTCGTTCTAGCGTCGGCGCGTCGTAGCCATCCATTCTGTAACTGTCAATCAGAAAACGAAACCGTCAGTCCACCGTCCGGGGAAGCTTGTTGACCATCGTCAAATAACGCCCGGCACACCAAGATCACGTTGCCGATCGTCCTGCCCCGCGACCTCCAGTCGCTGGCGTCTCTCGAGGACCTTGACAAACTGCGTAGCTTTGCCGCCGACCGTGACGCCTGGACGGACTTTCGGACCCTGTCGTCATGGGCCTCACCCGCGGCCACAAGCGTCGTAGGGCAGCAACAGAAGTGCCAGACGAGCCCCCGCGCTGCCCTCTGCGCAGCCACGGCCCGGCGAACGAATGAAGAAGGATACATTCATATTTATAGGGCACCAGGTGCGTACTCTTCCGTAGGACACCCCGTGGTGGCCAAATCACAGTTGCTGCTTGCATGATCCCAGAACCTGCCCAACTCGGCCTTTTGCTCCCGCTGTGGCGGCCTTATGGGCCAGACCCCGGGCTACCAGGCGCCGCCGCCGATAGCGTCCAGCAATGTCAGTACCAGAGCCAGCCGCAGTACTACGCGCAGGGCGTCCAGTCCGACTCCCTTGCTAGTTGCATGCCCTACAGGGGTCGCTGGTCCTATCGATCGCGTCGACACTTGGAAAAAAAGACACTTGGACTTTGGATTACAACACGATTTACAAGTGCGCCGCAACGTACTCGGCGATGCGCTGCTCCATGTAGATGCGGTCTTCCAAATGGCGCGGCGAGTGGCGTTCCTTGGGGAACAACAGCAGATCGTAGTGCTTGCGCGCCGAGATGAGCGCGTTAATGAGCCGCGCAGTATGGCGAAAGTGCACGTTTTCATCAATGAGGCCGTGGATCAAGAGCAGCTTCTGGTGGGGCTGCATGTGCTGCACATAGTTCATGACATTACCACGCGCGTACCCGTTCGGGTTGAGCTGCGGCGTCGACATGTAGCGCTCCGTGTAGCACGTGTCGTAGCCGTCCCACGACGTGACGGGTGCGCCGGCAATCGCAAGCTTGAACGTCTCGGGCGCCTTGACGAGCGAGATCGCGCTCATGTAGCCGCCGTAGCTCCAGCCGACCATACCCACGCGGCCCGGCAGCGTGATGCCGTCGGCAATGCACTTGTGCACACCGTCTTCCTGGTCTGAGATCTCAATCGTGCCCATCGCATGCTTGATCGCGCCTTCAAACGCAACGCCGCGACGGAAGGTCCCGCGGTTGTCGACCTTGAGGACTGCGTAGCCCATTTGACGGAACATCTGCGCTCGCATGTCGACCGTCACGGTCCATGCGTTCTGCACGCGCATCACATGCGGCCCGCCGTAGACGTTGACCATGGTCGGGTACGGACCGTGGCCGTAAATGCTTGCGTCGGGCTTGTAGATCGCACCATAGAGCGTCGTCGTCTCGTCGCGCGACCGAAAGCTAAAGAGCGACGGCGCTTGGATCCGGTCCGACAGCAGCGTCAGGCGCGGGTCCGACGTTGTGTGGAGCGTGTGGAGTGGCGAGAGCTCGGTGCCGTTGACGACGCGGTAGACTACGGCCGTCGGCGGCGTCAGCAGGTTGCTGTACACGTCGACCAAGGTCGTGCAGCTGCCGTCCATCGTGACCGAATGCACACCGCCGATCGTCGTGATTTTGGTCGGCGGCGTCATGGGCTTGGACAATGACGTCACATACAAATGACGCTCGGTGGGCTCGTCGAGGTTGCCGGAAAAGTAGAGCCGGTCGTGCTCGAGGTCAATGCCTTCGATCGCTTCGACGTTGCCCTCGCCAAACGTGAGCTGGCCAAGGACATTGGCCGACCCGTTGGCGTACTCGTACAAGTACAAGTGCATGAACCCCGAGCGCTCGGACGCCCAGAGAAACGTGAACGCGCCGTTGCCCCGGTGTTCGAGGTTGCGGAAGAGGTAGTGTGCGTTGAGCCACACGTCCGAGTGCTCGGTGAGCAGCGTACTCGAGACGCCGGTCATCGGGTGGAAACGCAGAAACGCCGCGTCGGTCTGGAGACGGTTGAGCGTCTGGACGCCGAGGCTGCCGTCAAGGAGCCAGTTGACGCGCGAGATGTAAAAGTCGTCGTCGCCGTGAAAGTCCATCCAGATCGGCGCTTGGAACACGTCCGGTGAGTCGAGGCGAAGCGGGAGCACACCGAGGCGGCGCTTCGGGTTGGCCTCGCCCGCAAACGGGTACCGGTGGTCTTCCTGCGCGCTCTCGCCAACGTCCGGGCTGCCCGAGTGCATGATGCGGAACTGCGGAATGTGCGTGTCATCAATCTCCTCGAACGCAAGGTGGGCCGAGTCGGGCGCCCACCAAAAGCCGTGGAAGCGCGAGAGCTCTTCTTGCGTCACAAAGCACGCAAGGCCGTTGCTCTTGCCGCTTTCGCGGGCACCGGTCGTGACCTGGATCGCAGTCGGGAGCGACCCGTCAGCGTTGGGCTCGGCCGCGACCACGTAGAGCTCGCTCTCTTGAACAAACGCAATGTACTTGCCGTCCGGCGAGTACTGCGGGTCGATCGCGCCGCCCTTTGCGCCCGTCGACGTCTTGTCAAAAAGCAAGGTTAGCTCGGCGCCCGGGCGCTCCTGGAGGTACAAGTTGCCCTGCAGCGGGTACACGATGCGCGTCGAGTGCGGCGTCGGGCACCAAAGGAACGACGTGATGCCCGTGCCCATCTGGCGCTGGCGCTCGCGGCGCAGCTTCTCTTCGAGCGACAGATTGCTCTCCGTGTTGCCCGAGCCCGGCGGCCGCGCGACCAGCGACACCGCGAGCGAGGCCATGTCGAGGCCGTACAGCTGCTGCGTGAGCTCGTTGTTGGAGCTGTGGAGATACGTGAGGAGGCGGCCGTTGGGGCTAAAGCCGAGGCGCGTCGGCGCGTTGCTGCCGGGCGTCGGCATGCGCGCGACGTCTTCGTGCGAGATGAGATGCGCCATGGCGGAGGATTGCGAAGTGCCCACCTGCCGGTCCCTTCCTCATGCTCATGAGCAATCACCCCGAGCCCTCCTGAGGCGGTTCGCCCAATGGCCTTGCCGCAGCCTCATAATTCACCAATCATGTGCAAGCACGCTGCTTTTCACCACTGTGATTGGTTACGACCAGATCCTTGCCGGAAACCGCCCCGAAGTGGTTTTGCAAACTGCCGGCAACGTGACGTGGCGCCGCGACAGCTGGCGACCATCAACGCGCCGGCGCGTCCATCGCACAGGTCGTCGCAGCGGCGCATGGCAACGTTATACCGGCAGCCAGGGTAAACCACCGGTAGCGAGGGTAAACCAGAGGGTAAACTAAGAGAAACGCGTTCAACCTGAGCTCCCTCCAGACGTTGTCGATGGAGGAGCTCGGCCATAAATTGACCAAGTGACCGGGCCAACGCTGTGACATGGCAGGTGGAACTTCAAGCGCAGGTCCACTTTGCGCTTATTGGCGCGACGTGGCGGCCCACCGACAGGGCATTGCCCAGCGCTCTCCAGCTGCGCTCTCCAGCTGAGCTCTCCTAAAGAGCGCAGTAGCTCAAATCTCGCCCGCCGTCCTTTCGACTGGCGACTCGACAAGTAGCTTCGTTCAAATGCCATCTTGACGACGACCCGTCTCGGCACACAGTCGCATGGCGGCGTCGACCGTGGCACTGTTGTCACGGTATCGTCGTCTGCTACGTGCTTGGCGACTAGGAGCGCGTCGTTCGTTGTCCCAGCCAGCAAGGTATCTGTGCAGGACGGACGCTCGGGCTACGCTCAACCCACGCATCAAGCTGCCGACCACCTGTGTTCGTCTATCATCGCGCCCATCCTCACATTACCGTGCCCTAGATGGAAGCCAACTTGGCGTGGCGACAGAGTCCGTTGGGTGATCATAGCAGAAAGGCACATCCGCCGAAGTCCGTCCACGGACTGGACGCCACGAGGATCCTCGGCCACCGGCGAATACGTCCTGCATTCGTCGGCCGCATCTTCGTACACGTCGACACGCCCATCGTGGAAGACACAGGTTAAAGTTAGAGAAAAAAGAGAGGCTGTTTGCGCTCCTACGCCGACTTGGCCTTGAGCACGGTCTCGTGCGAGGCCGCCTCGGTCATCTTGGCCTTCTTCGTCTCCCACGCATGGAGCGCGCGCTTGCGGTCCGAGACAAGGCCAAGCTTGGCGCACGTGTCGATGAAGAGCTTGGTCGGGTTGTACTGGGACATGACACCAAACTCGCTGGCGGCGTAGTCGTACGGGAAGACGTGGTGCCAGTTGTGCCAGCCCTCGCCGATCGAGAGGACGGCAACGATGGCGTTCTCGGTCGGGTGGATCTTGGGGTCGTACGGCGTCGCGCCGTAAAAGTGGGCCGCCGAGTTGACGAGCCACGTGCAGTGGAGGATAAAGACATAGCGGAAGAAGCCAGCGACAAGAAGCCCGTTGGCCCAGTGCTCGCCAAAAAAGTACGAGCACACAAGCATCGGGAAGATGAAGCTCATGAAGAGGTTGCCCCACGGGTTGAGCGTCTTTTGGAGGCGGACGACCCAGTCTTCAAGGAGATCGTCGCAGTTGATCTTGTTGCCAGCCTCGATCACCTTCGGGTCCTTCTTGACGAGGAGCCAGCCAATGTGCGCAAAGAACATACCGCGCTTGGCGTTGTGCGGGTCGGCCTCGGTCTCCGAGTACTTGTGGTGCACGCGGTGGTCGCGGCTCCAGTGGTAGATCGTGCCTTGGTTCGCGACCGAGTTGCAGAGCATGAGGAAGAAGCGCACAATACCGTGCGCCTTGTAGCTCTTGTGCGCCCAGAGGCGGTGGACGCCGCCGGTGATGCCAAGGCCCGAGAACTGCGACAGCACAAACGTGAAGAGGAGCGTCTGCCACGAGCACGAGCCAATGTAGCGGAGCGCGAGGACGGCGAGCGCATGGCAGTAGCCGAGGTAGATGACCATGGGCCAGTTGGCGTTCTTGTAGTGCTCCGACCACGCGACCATCGTGTTGGGAATGCGGAGGATTGGGAAATGAGACTACGTTCTTAGCGCAAGGCGTCGTTGGCCACCCGGTTTTATACTCGCTGGAAGATCGCTGAGGTGGCAAATTTCGATCGTGATGCCGCTTTTCGCCGCTTTTGATTGGCGCACACAACGGTCGCGCGTTCTGATTGGACGATGAAAAGGACGCCACCGCGGCGGCCGGTGATGTCACACGCGTGTTGACAAAGGGCCATGACGACGTAGCGCCAGCCAATGAAAGCGCTGCAATCTGGTTTGTTTTGACCAATCATCATTGAGGAAATCGTGCAGGCCCGGTTTTGATACAAATGTCGAGAGATTTTTATACTACGAAGCGGCCTGCGACAAGGGCGGAAGGGAGAGCGTACCCGTCGACACCTTCTCCCACCGCGACTGTGACCGACGACGACGGCGACGCGACCGTTGCCTTCATCAGTCGATCGCTCGCTCCGAGATGTACTACACTTCCGTGGCAACTACGGTACGTCCATGGACGTCAGGAATCGTCGACGACGCTCCATGGCGAGCGATGTGCGAGGAGATGAAGGAAGTCCATCGAAGCCCCTCTTGTCGCTTGTTCCATGCAGCGAGGTGGGTGAGCAGATGCTTTTGCCGTTGATGGCTCCGTACCGTTACGTCCGACGTGGCAACCGTGCGCAGTGACGTGGCACGACGAGATTCATTCCTGTGATTACGATCCGCCACAATGTCGGTCGCCAAGCGCCAACGGCAATCTCGATGGGAGGCATGTCTGGACGACCACGTCAGTGCAGAGCACGGGTTGCATCATCGTGCGGTTGCAGGACCAAGCTCAATGAAACAGGCTCGTTCAAGCAAGCTGGTCCGTGTCAAGTTGGCTCGCGAAATACACTATGGAAATACACCACCAAACTGAGTCGAAAGAACGCCCTTTCCATGCGCGGCCGTTAGTTCTTGCGCGTTGGCTGTGGTTTCTTCAAAAGCACGGCGCCGCATCCCACTAGTAGAAACCTGAAAGAGCTTTTGGTTGAATGTCGGAGCGCACGGCGCATGACCAAGATATGGTCACCGGTAGCGCAGAACGCATCCTTACTTGTTGGTATGCCAGTCAAGCAACACGCTCGCTGAGTACTAGTCGTATGACAAGAATTACCGATTGTCGTTCATGTTGAACGTGGCGACGAGCAGCTTGCAGTGTACAGCCAGAGCCAGTCGGTAAATAAGGTTGAAAAACAAGTAAGCTTAGTCAGCTCTTATTCCATACAAAGGGGCTAGATATGCATCGTTTGTACTACAGTGTTTGCTTAACACTCGCCGACATCGTCGTTAACCTCGTCGTCGACGAGCACTGGCGCAATGATTTCGACCACACTGGCCGTCGCCATGTGCAGAGACTGCGTCCGGGTCGACTTGACGGCGACGACGGCCGCCGCGATGGCCGCCACGAGCGCGACGCCGGCCACCGCCATGATCGCGGCGCTGCTCAGCATCACGCCCGATGTGTCACGTGATGTCGCTTCGGCGCTCTGGACACTCGCTGTCGCCGCCCCGGATGACGACGACGACGAGCTCGGCGCACCGCTCCCCACTGGCCCCGACGCACCGCCTTCCAACGGCCACTGCGGCAACGCGCAGCCGTACGTCTGCGTTTTCGCATCCACGAGCATGCATTGGGTCGAGCGCGTCAATGTGCACTTGCCCGACGAGCGGTAGCTCGGAATCCCAGGCACGCAGTTGCCCGACGCTTTGGCGCCGGATCGAGGACACGCGCCGTCCGCCGTCTTGCCGCCGCAGACATGACCAACTATGCAGTACGTGGCGTCGCCTTGGACGCTCACGGCGGTGCAGGCGGTCGGCTTGGTCAATGGCGCGACCTGCAGCAACGACTCGTCGACGCGGTCGCTCTCAAGAGCGAGACTCTTGCGCAGCGACGTGGTGGGCAAGATGCAGCCGTACACGGTCGGACCGCCCGGCGGGTTGATGTTGCCGCACACAGCCGACCGCGGCAGCGCACACGAGCTCGTGGCGGCGTTCCAGCTAAAGATGCCTGGCACACAGTCGGTCTGCGGCGTCGCACCGGCCGTCGGACACGCGCCACTCGAGAGTGCGCCACTGCAGACAGGGCCGGTGATGCAGTACGTGGCGTCGCCTTTGACGCTGACCTTGACGCAGGCGGTGGCGGCTGACGCGGCGGTCGCGACCACACAGAGCAGGAT